CGCTTGACACTAGCAACTTCGGCCTGTACAAATCCGCGAATCAGGAACGGCCCTCTTCTTGCGAGATATACAATCGAACAACAATTGAACGTGCGCAAGTCCCTTCCTGATCCTTCCAACCACGTACCGCGTGCGTAGTAGCATTGTTCTTCTCTGGTATTAATAAGCGCTCATTGAAGGTTTTTACTTAAGTTTACGGCTTTTCTATCTCTCGAATTATAATAACCATCTAACAGATAGAATGATGTAAACATTTATCGTCGCTCGTCATTCGTTATTTTGTTATAATGAAAGTGAACATTTCACGTTTCGACAACAATTTCGGACGGCGTACAATTACAAGGCGTATAGAAAATATCATACATTTCTTAAGGAAAACATGTACATTGTACAAAATGTACAACACTCTATCATGTACCCTAAGTATATCATAAAAATATTTATATTCAATGAAGACAGTAATGAGCATCCAACTACTTTCACTAAAACAACTAAACTGTTTATGTTGGAAATAATGTATTGTTCTCATAATTATCATCATTCTATGCAGACGCAAGTAATAAAAGTGATGGGGCACATACCCTTAGTACTCTCAGTACTATACCTAAGCTCCCGAGAGTCTAGGACCGTTTCGCGCAGCTTGGAAGGTGGTGGGGGTCGCAGCGAACCCCCTCCACACGGTTCAGTATACACGGTAAAGCATTGAGATGCGCAGAACGATCAAAAACTGAACTGGGCCCACTCTTAGACTCTCGGGAACACAGGTATAAGTTGCTTTCGATTTTCGGGCAAATCAGTCCCATGAACCATTCTTCGGCCTGATGTTTATGACCCGTATTGTACAAACAGTGAGTCACAAGACTATTCATACCTGCTGTCCTTTTACGGATCCGAGTGTATTTCCATTGGTTTCCGTTTGCAAATTCCAAAGTGGGGGGAGACCAGAGATGCCAGGTGGAGGACGGGAGCCACCGAGAATCTGCCCCTCCACTTACTCACACTATCGCACTGTATCCGTGTGCTCCGAGCTCGGCTCAACTTCGGCTCAGTAGAGAGAGACGGCAAAACATCAGTCCGTCGCTCTTGCCCCAGACGTCGGCTGACGGCTGCGTGTCGCTTGGATTTTAACGCATCAGGAGCAAAAGCGACGGACTTATGTTTCGCCTTCTCTCTCTACTGAGCCGAAGTTGAGCCGAGCTCGGAGCACATGGATACAGTGCGATAGTTGCGTAAGTGGAGGGGCAGATTCTCGATGGCTCCCATTCTCAACCTGGCATCGTGGCATCCTGGCATCTCTGGTTCATGCCGATCATTGTCCGAATAGCTTTCGTGCAGAGCGGTAGGACAATTTTTCTTTCTGCAGTTTTGCATTTGTGAAAGAATAGTGAGGAATAGTTCAACATGAGCGAGTCTTTAAATTCCGCATCAAGTTCACTGAGCCTCAATGATATTTCTGTGCTGCAACAGTACACAAATAAAATTGTAGAGGCCTTGGTGGACATTGGTGTAATGGAACAAACGACAACGACGACGACGACAACGACGACGACAACGACGACGACGTCCACGACGACGACAACGACGACGACAACGACGACGACGTCCACGACGACGACGTCCACGATGGACGTAGACATGGACGACGCCTTGGACATTGCTGACTCGGATGATTTGTCTTTCACTTCGTCCGATGATTCTGAACTCAGTACAGTCCAACAGTACGTTCAGAAGATAAAGGAAGCATTGGTGGACCTGGATATCCTGGAACGCGATCAGGGAATGGCGCTGGAGATGGCGATGATGGTGGACGAGAATTCTGATGACAAATCATCAGAGTCGACCATGGAGGTGGAGAACGCTGCTTACATGGAGAGTGCAGGACCTGCGGAGGGAGAAACAGAGGAGGACGAACGAAATAACAAATGACGATTGTACTAACTTCTATTGACGTGTTTGAAGAAACTATGACAATGGGATACAATTGAAATTAATAAAAATAATGAAGAGATACGATGTTCAAAATGCCGACTGTGATTTTTCACGATAATCACAAAATCACGATTGTAACCCGCGATTATACTTGATCACGATACCGTGATCGGGATTTTGTATGAGTACACTTGCTATTATCGCAATATTAATATATCTGGTAAAGTAATTTGAAATAATATAACTTTCGATTTTTAAAATATTCGATATCATTTTTAAAAAATTGTTATTTATTTTTAAAGACAAAATTTTTCACTTTCTTATGATTTTTGATTTTGTATAATGAGTAGACTTTCTATAATCGAAATATTAATATCTACTAATACAGCTTTCGGTTTTTAAAATATCTTTAAGAGTACCTTTAAGTATACGTTAATTTAAGGGTACGTCGGGGCCCGACGGGCGAGCGAGAAAGTCGGATTGCTTTTTAAGGAAGGAGATAAACGCGCGGACGAACCTAATCTAACCCTTTGGGTTAGCCTCGGGAGCCGCAGGACGTGGACGACGGGGAGAGGATCAGTCCCCCTTAGCCACTTAGGTAAAAAGGTAGTCGGATTGGCAGGTTACCTGCCGTGGATACGTCTTGAGCGGTTAAGACGTATCGGTTGCGAGATACCCCGGTTATCGAGCTAAGTTGGAAAGAATTCAGGATGTGCAGAAAGAAACTTGAGACTAATTTAAGAATGGTTACAAACTTGTCTATATTCTTAGGTACTCGTACAATGTTCTTTGTTAATGGTCTTACGCGAAGAGAATTCCTACTCCGATTCACGCAGCGAAGTCGCGGGGAAAAGTCTAAGTTTAAACACTCACGCAAAGGGTCTCTCGGCGGAGAGAAGTAACGCTTTTGCGTGTCAGAAAACTAGTTCAGAACTAATCTAAAGTGCTGTGGTGTAACGCCCTTTTATACCCAAATGAGGCTCTTTCCCGTGGTGGGGGATGACCACATTTGGGCATATTCTAGAAGCTTCCACGCTAGACTCACCCCGTGAGTCACTTACGCGAGGGATGCGTATGTGACCAGCAACGAACATTCTGGAAACGCGCAGGGCCATATACGTAACACATTTTTGAAAACATTATTATTTATTTTCAAAGATAGACTTATTCTTTCTTATGATTTAGGATTTTGTATAAAAAGTAGACTTGCTATTATCACAATTTTAATATCTGGTAAAGTAATATGAAATAATATAACTTTCGATTTTTGAAATATCCGATATCATTTTTAAAAAATTGTTATTTATTCTGAAAAATCAAATTATTCACGTTCTTATGACTTACTTCAAATGTGGGTGGCCCATTGCGGCCCATATGTAAGGATCAGAAGGAATCGGTGCGAAGAATCACTATGATAGGGAACGAACATGATCGGATCACGAGTAATTCAAAAGTACACGCAAAAGTAGGAGCTAGCCATCACTAAAATGTGTTACACATTATGTACGATAAGATTTGAAAATTATACTTGTGACTTTAGAAAAACACGTTGAATACTTTTATAATCCTTACTTCTCTGTAAATATCATTTTTCCTAAGAGTTTATCGCTTCAACAATCATGAAACTCTGGGAGTATATTTCCAATATTTAATACATCGTGCTGTAGGGTGGGGTGGCGGTATGTATGGGTGGCTAAGGGGGAGGTAATAGAGGGGGGATATCGGGACATCCAGCAACGGGTGGTTCAAGTTTTAACGGGAAATTCAGTTGACTAGACGAATTCGAAGAGAACATTTTGGATCGATGAGAGCGGGTCAACTTAACATCGATCCAAACAAATTAAATCTATACTGCAGTTGTCTGAGAAAGAAATTGAACCTGTACCAAAGATTTTAAGAAAGGCCCCCAACGTTGTCAAGGTATTTATTTATATTAATTTATATTCGTATATTGAAACGTAGAACATTAATTAACATCGGTGAGATTAACGCCGGTTTTGACAAAAAAACATCTCTTCATTAACGATACAGATTTTGGCTAATGAGTCTTTATATTATGCATGATCCCTTATGGATAATCGAATCGTAATCATGATCTAATAAAAAAACAGGCATGGCAGTACAGTCTTCGAATAGAGGAACAGCCAGCATGGATAACGACATTTTAGATTAACGCCGGTAATTCGTCTTAGGATTAGGACAGGTCGTTCTGGAATAAACTGCCGTCGTTAACTAAAATACTATTTTATTCTTTCTTCTATAGTTCTTGAATAATGATGATAGTTTTAAAAAGAGCGAGCATTGAATAGGGACTCAAATTCTTGGTTTCGGATGGTTGGATTTAAATAGAAGATCGTTGCACTTATAATGTAACGAAAACAAAAGTATTGATTCTTACTTCTTGACTAACTCCGCGGTGTAATTATAATTGTCAGACATGCTCCTGTCATAGTGCAGATTTTTTAATTTCGCATTAACAATTAATGATGAAACTTCTTTAAATCTGAATCGAAAATCGGAGTATTCATTAATTAAGATTTAAAATTTAATTGTTCATTCGAATTTCTTTCCATTAAGCTAATTAAATGATGTCAATTATTGTTAAATTTGAATTAAAAATTAAATGTTAATTGCCAGTTGGTGTTCAACTGAATTAAAGATTCAATCAGTTGTATCCAACCCTGTTATGCATATAATTTTACCATTGTGATGTTTCCATGAATTCTCTTGCCAATCTTACTCGAATATCTCATTCTTTCAATATGCCTTTAATTTTTCTACATACTAAATCATAAGAAGCAATGAAAGAATTTGAGCATAAAATGAACTTGAGCATGGAATCTTACTTTTTATATTTTGTTGTTTAGTGCGCGTATTTATAATAGTTATACATTATTTGTTATATAATATTTAATAATATAAAAAATATTAAAAATTAATTTTAGACAAATTTCTTTACACATTATTCTTTCACAATCCAGTCATTTTTACTGCTTTGGGCAATATAGGTATATACTAAGTTTCAGTCTTTCTAGTGTTAAACGTTGTGTAGAAGTCACATAATTTGCACCATGCTTTATATGTTATATGTTAGTTACATGTATGTATGTATACGATTAAAAATATGATCGTAACATCTTAAGCTCTAGATTGGTGAAGGAGACAAAAAAACCTGAACCAAGCTTTGAACAAGGTGAAGAAAAATAAGAAGATGCGAAGTTCTTCCCAGTCATATTCCTATGTTTTTCGTTTTTCAGATGCCGAGTCAGTGTACGAATACAAAGCAGCCTGTGGGACACGGTCGTCCAAGACTGTGGCGATCGTTCACCACATCTTCAGAGTCCAATTGTACGAACTCTCGTCATTCTTCGGAATCGTCCAGCTTTGACATGAACTCATTATTCACTTATCTGGAGCAAGACGTGGAGGCTACCACCTCGAACGACAATGCGCATAATAGGAATTCTCCTAGCAGGTCCTGCTCGGGTTGCAGCGATCGAGATTACCGCGCTTGTTTACTTGGTCAAACTTCGGTAAGCCAATGAATCCAATATAAATGAAGTCGTCCAATTTTTATTACATTGTTGTCAAAAATGAATTTTCAGAACTCTCCCGAGTCGGATCTTGAGAATGGAAATCCTCTACGCATTCCTGATTTCCTTAAGAATATAGTGGAAACACCTCCCTGCGAAGTCCATCTCGATGCAGAAAAGTTGTACTGTTACACTTGTAGCAAGCCGCTCTGTAGAGATTGCGGTATTCAACAGCACGAAGATCATGTCACAAACAACCTCATGGAGGCTGTAAAAGATGCTCAAGCCCAAGCGAAAGAAGTATTACAGGAGGTGATCCTTGGAATTAGAAGACTCGAGGAAGAGCTCGACGCTACGGAGGTAATTTGAAATATTCACGGGATTCCAAAGAACAATTACGTTTTTTGCGTCAACGTATTAATGTATGCTGTATAATTGATGCACGGTGGGGCACATAGCTCGAACGATGCGATTTCTTTTGGAGCAAATGTTTCAAATAGAAGTTGTATAATATTAACACTATTTCTACCAGTGTCAAGAGACACCTTTTGAAATTTACAATTAAAATTAATATCATTATTTTAGGACTGTATGAGCCCTTACATAAAAACAAATACAAAGTATTCAAATTTTAACAATTAGGTGTTACACTAACAAAACGCTGTGGAAACTTTTAGAAATTTTGCCAGACTATTAAGAAAATTATTACATGCTGAATTTAATGTTGACTGGCAAAATACTAATTTTATTTATTTAAAAGTATAGATGCGACAATGAGGGAATTTTGTATAATTGTTAACACGTTAATCGCCTTACATTCACCGGTGACTGATAATATACGTTTCGTTTGGGTTCCGTCAATCACTGTTGACGATATATTATTTAAGGAAGTATATTCTTCTATTAATAAATTGTAAATAAACGGGAGATCATAAGAAAATGTACCTAAAGATTATTTGTTACTGAAAACAATTTTAATGGGTATTATTAAAACACTCAATGATTAATAAACTGATTAATGGCTAAACAGAAAGCCAAAACAAGTTTGGAGCTTAACGTGTTAATACACGAATTAAGGATATTTTAAAGGTGAAATAATATTAACTTCGAGAACATTATTTAAAATACACTGGAAAGTTCGAATTATATAACGTATCTACAACATAATTCAGTTACCATGTATTGTGTATTGTAACATTCCAATAATGTAATGAAATTAGATAATTAAATTATTATTCAATTATACAGGGTGTCCCAGAGAATATATTAGAGCCGAAGAGAGGTGATTCTGTAAGTGTTTCTGAACAACAATTTGCTTTGGTAAAATGTAAAGTGAGCCATGGTTTTTAAATTATTAACGAAATACACTGACCAATAAGAACACGTGTAGGGCCTGCGCTATGCCACGGCCGAGCTTCACGATTCGAACTAACCTATCCGTGGCTGGGCCGCTGGGCACGGGCTCTACGCGTGCTCTCATTGGCCAGTGTATTGGCCGTTAATAATTCAAAAACCATGGCTCACTTTGCATTTTATCAAAGGAAATTGTTGTTCAGAAACACCTCCAGAATCATCTTTTTTCAGCACTAACACTTTTTCTGGGACACATTGTACATTAAAACGAAATTAGAGGATAATGAGAAGTGAAAAGACACCACGAAAAGATTTCGTAAGAAAGAAGGATTGTTCCTGATGAACATGGTATTATTAGATTAGAAATAAAATTCTCTATATTACGCTTGTTTAAAAAAACAAATCTAAAGCTAAGGGAGAAAATAGATACATTTTTCTGAGTAATTCTATTATATTGTACTTCAATTACATTGCACTTCAAATCCATTGAACTTCAATTAAAATGTAATTCAATTGTATTCATAATTAAAATAATTAACAATTAAATTAATTGAAAAGTTTGAATTATGTAATGCAACTACTACATAAATCAATTACTATGTAATTGAAATGCAATTTAATGAAATTACATAAATCAATTACAATGTATTTCAATTATTACAATTCTGTTTAGATGAATATAATCCAATATGATCAGTTTTTCTTTATATTAACATTTAGCCAATGCATGAAGGCGAAGTTTGTGCTTTAACGGTACAATTTTCTTTAACGTTTGTTTACAGATGGCGAAAGGAATAGTACAACACCATTCGAAACAAGCAGAAGTAGACATGATGTTGACCGTAGTAAAGGCAACTGCCATCGCAGAAAAAAGACAGAAACAGCTGTTAGCTAACATCCAGAATGCTATGCGAGAACAATTACCTGTCCTGAACTCGGCACGTCTCGCCCTGAAGAAGAAACTAGTTCGTTTATCTTTCGTCTGCGACATACTTTCTGAAGCTATGGAAATAGACCCCGAAAAGGATCATCCATTATGCCTGTCGATCATCACGGACATGGCTATAGCAGAGGTATTTCAAATGAAACATTCATGATTGCTAGACAGCAGTTATAAGAGTCTGTTCCTATAACACATTCCATAATAGTTTTTTCATTTATTTATCTTGTTTGCAGATTGATGACAGTGACGAGACTTCTGCATCCCTTTCTCCGGAAGAGAACGAGCAATGTATTGAATTCAGCGATATAGAGAGCAATTTTCAAAACGTCGTACCAAATTTTGGAGAGTCGATTGATAACCAGCCAGGTACTATAGGCGACCGAAGACTCCAACGGAACAGTATTAACACGAATTTGGACGAAGAATTCCACAGCGGCCCGTGGCCGATGCCATCAGTTTCGAAGCCAAGAGAAACCACCCGGACGCATCCTTTTCCTGTTACAGTTCGGATGTATCGGAACTCCGAAGTACCGGTGAAACCATCAAAAATCATTGGCACTGGGGGCGATGTCTTAGACAATTTATGCCGACCATGGGGAATAGCCTGTGACCAGAAAGGATATATAATTGTTGCTGACAGATCGAACAATCGTATACAAATATATCGGCAAGACGGCAGCTTAGTGAGGAGGTTTGGCTCCATTGGCACAGCTCCAGGGCAATTCCAACGGCCAGCTGGTGTGGCAGTCGACTCCCGGCGACGAATTATCGTTGCTGACAAGGACAATCATCGAATACAGGTAATGAAAATTTCAAAAACAACAAGAGCAAGGAGGATTCACTTCAATGTCTCCTTGATTCACGATAATAGATAAAATTCCTTTCTTTGACGTAAGCTTACGTGCGTATACCAATTTTTATTCGAGGCTATTTAAGTGAAAAATACTTAAAACACTATACAATGTACAATAGAAAAGCATCGACGATTTCCAAATCCGTTCTAACATAGTATTATCTTAAAAAATTTGGAGCATGCTAAGTGAGTCGGGAATCGTTTTGGTAGCTGTACGTTCAAAATATGCATAAATAGAGATTACCATGTAGATGAAGATCTTAGCCAACTATGTCAGCCAAATAACACTTCGTTAATAAACAACAAATATAACACTACTGTGACAATGCTATGGGAATTTTCCTACGTTATGTACATTTATTTTGAAAAGTTAAATGTCAGCACAAATATACTACTAAAAAAAATTAAAACATCGAAAATGACTAGCGCAATTAATTTGAACAATGGATTTGGCAATTCCCACGTCATTTGTGATGCTTGATTTACTATAGAACGAGAAGTATTGGTAGAAGCAGAAAAATGTCAGAATGATAAATAAACTGAAGCAAACGTTTTCTTATCAACTTGTTGAAATTCATATATTGAATAAAGTTCTATGTACAAATATTATTTTATATGTACATATAGGGATATTATTCTGATATTCTAACAAAACAACTTTCGTGTATACAAATATATGAATCGCTCGCTATTCAAATATGCTTACTCTCAAAATATGCATACGACGATCTTATTATGCCAAACACTAACTTCTTTTTATTTGCCCAATACTTAAACTTTATCTTTCATGTTACAGATATTCACCATGGAAGGTCTATTTCTACTAGCTTTCGGCGAGATAGGCAAGCAATGTGGGCAGTTTAACTATCCATGGGATGTGGCAGTTAATTACGATTGTCAAATAATTGTATCCGATACAAAGAACCATCGTATACAATTATTCACCGCCGAGGGTATTTTTCTTCAGAAGTACGGTCCCGAGACTTCGCCAAATACGTGGGAACAATTCGACTGTCCACGTGGTGTAGCGTTCGATACTGAGGGCAACGTCGCCGTCACCGATTTTAACAATCACAAAGTGATTACAGTTAACAGTGATTTTGAAGACGTGCACGTGTTTCAATGCGAAGCCACTGGTGTTTTGAAATCTTTCCGAAGACCGCAGGGTATTGTGATAGATGATGCAGGCAATGTCATCGTGGCCGACTCGAAACGGCACAGAATACAAATATTCAACAAAGATGGACAATTGAAATGGAGTTACGGTAGTTTAGGGCAAGGTGAATCTGAAATGGACCGCCCAGCCGGTGTCGCGTTGTGCCCCGATGGTAGGATCGCAGTAGTTGACTTTGGCAACAATCGGGTTCTCCTTATTTAATCGATCGATCGAATTCGTCGTTCGCGGAATACAAGCAACTCACACAAGTTGCGTATTCAATACTTATAGTAAATTACCCAAATTTGTACTCACATCACAAATTCTACTTACTATCTTTAT